AAAAAAAAAAAAAAAAAAAAAAAAAAGAATCACACCTGCAAAGTTTCTCTCTGAGATGGAGGTAACACATGCATGGACGCTAGGTTTTAGAGATTTTTGGTGGAGGAGGATGGGGAGCATTACAATGTTTACTACCCATGCTTTCTTGTTCTTTTTTTCCCCTCTTTCTTGCTGATCTTTTAAGAAACTCATGGCTGCAAGTTATGGAGACCCCAGTTAAACCACAGTGTAACTGACACAGTTTAAGAGTTCATATAGCTTCAGAGGTAGAATAAGACGGTGACTGAACAGCAGCATCATGGACCCTGGTTCTTTCCAGCCTTCCAGTCTGCTCTTCACAGTGTCAGCTTCGTCCCAAGGTTGGTTCCTCAAGTGACCAAGTGATGGTCACCAGGAGTCCCTGGGGCTCGACGCTGCCTGTTTACACCTATGGAGGGAAGCAGCACTGAGTGCCCACAGCTTTCCCTGTGGACCAGGGTCTCTCAGTGATGGCATTACAGATGCTTTGGGCTGGATAACCCTTTGCTGTGAGGCTACACCTGCATCAGAGATTTTAGCAGCAGCCTTGGCTTCTTTCTACTAGACGCCGGTAGCTCATCCCACCACCCTAATTAAGCTTAACTAGTTATTGTTTACAGGACCCCAAGAGGATTGGGACAACCAAAAACCTTGCTAGACATTGCCAAATGTCCCTGGGAGGGGCCAAATTACCCCCAGTTGAGAAGTAGGTACAATTACAGGCATATGAGGCTCACGGGTCTATACCGGAACCAATTACTGGGGTAAGGGTAGTGAGAGACTTTGATTAGCTCTGTCAAATTGTGGCAGATACTTAAAGCTGAAGGTGAAGTCAACTTCTTCAAAGTCCATGGTCCTAGGCTTCATGACTGGGTGTAGGAAAAGAATGCTTGGGAGGTAGCTAGCAGTGCCCATCATGCCTGGTGTTGAGTAGGTTGTCTTTGATCCATTTCCCTTCTGCATTCTGTTCCTTGTGTTGAGTGGTTATTCTTTAAATAAATGTATGTGTGTGCATGTGTGTGTGCATGTGTGTGTGCGTGTGTGTGTGTTATATATTTAACTTGCAGATTTATTATTATTATTATTCTTTTGAGACCAGGTCTCACTATGTAGTCCAGGCTAGCCTTGAACTCGCTATCCTCCTGCCTCAGTTCCCAAGCACTAGGGTTACAGGCAGGTGCCATCACACCTGGTTGCTTCTGCCCATTCTTCCCCTCCTCCACCTCCTCCACCTCCTCCTTTCCATTCCCTCTTTCAGGTTCACACCCAGTGTCCTGTCTCCTCCAACCAGGCCCTACCTTCCAAACTGTGAACTAATCAATGGGTTAATTCCACTAATGAATGTAGCTCCCCCACAATCCAATCTGACAGCCCTATCGTGAGACTCGGGCAACCTTTTAGATCCAAACTGTAGCACCACATACCTTCTAGCACTGCCTGGATATTGGCATCCAGTGGTTCTTCAGGCCAGGCCCGGCCCCAGTGTTTGCCATTCTGTTCACATTCTGTTGGCCGGAGCCCAGTTATATTGCTTCATCTAACTTAAAGGGAGCCCAAGAGAAGTCCTAGCTATGTTCCTGGAAGGAAACAGAATTTGTAAACAACTGAGCAGCTTTTGCCATAAAGTCCTATTCTGGTTGGCCTCTTCATTCTCCCAGGTGTAATTCTTTCTTCCCTGGTTTCTCTTTGATGGTCTTAGCTTTCTCCAGTTTAGAAATCCTTGGGCAAAGTCATCTTTACAATGGATCTTCTCTGTTATTCTGTCTTCAGTCTCTTGCGTAGCTACTTAGGGGAAGAGGCAAGCATTGTGTTCTGCGCTACTTTCAGAGGGCATGGGCGACAGCTAAGACACGCTGCTGGACAGGGAATCTTAGCCACTGGTCTTCTGGGCTTGGGCACTCCCAGGTCCTCCACACTATTCCCAGTCACCCCAGGTACCTCTTACTCTCTCACTCCCACATTCTGTGCTCCCTCCTGCCTGGAATGGACCACCAGTCACACTCACCTGGGCACATGGATGGTGATCCTTGTGCTGCCAGCTCTGCTTCTGTGCCCCAAGTACCATCCCTGGCAGCTGGGCCCAGGTCCCTCCCACATCTCCAGTCCCCGTGGGTAGCAACACCCTTTGGCAGTTCCCAGTCTCCACTGGAAGGACTCTGCTGTTGGAGTCCCTGTGAGTCCTGGGCTGAGGCCCTTCCTCCAGTCTCCTCTCCCTGCCTTCCACTTGTTCCTTGCAGGTTTGGCTCCTCATGTGCCAGTGAGGTTCCCGCTTCTTGTGTATTTATGATTTAGTTTATATTTGTATCTCTCATTTATTGGATTTGGTGTTTACTATTTTGAAAAATGGCAGCCCGTTTCCCCAAGGGACTGCCCCATTTTGTACTCCCAGCAGCTGTGTGGGAGGTTTCTGATTGTTCCACGTCCTCACACCATTCGCTACGCTGTGTTTTGGGCTCCAGCACTCCTCGACTCTCCACCGCCATCACTCTGGGGAGCTCAGAGCAAGTGCTGTGGTGTGGACGTGCTACTCACTGTTCCACTCCCCTGCCAGCCCTCACTTCCAGTAACCAGAACAGTTTCTCCCTGGGATGCCTTGGCTACCTGGTGCAAAGTCTGAGCATAACTAGTGAAACAGCACTCAGGCGGCAGGCAGACCAAGGAAGAGAGCAGCACTCAGAAAATTGAAGGGAAAGGCAGGTTTATTTGCTAGCTAGTGGGCCCAGTGGAAGTCACTTTCCAGAGTCTGAGCCCTGTTTTTATCTTGTTCTTTGGGCAGGGCAAGCAGAATTTTACAGAAGCAGAGTAGGGAGGTGGAAGCAAATTTTGCTCTTAAGAGTTTAAGACATAGGGGAGGTACAGGCTGTTGTTTTCTTAGTTCATCTTTCGAGCACAGCGACCTTGGTGGGTCTAGCAGGAGGGGCAAGCCTTGCTGAGGTTGTCAGCCTTGAGACTATCAGTCTCTGTAAGGTCTTTTGTTTTTTTCCATTTCACTAGTACAACAGTGGTGACATCCTCTGCGGCTACCGCAGACGGAGTGGTCACCCTGCGGCAGACCTGCGTGAAGCACCACATTCAGTCTCAACTGAAACTGGAGCTCCAGGTATTAACTGGAACCTCAGAGTTAGACAGTCGGAGAACAGAGGCGCAGATGTAGCCTGTGCCTACCTTTATCCTGCTTCCTCCCTGGCCATGGTTGACTTCAATAAATATTGAAGAGCTGGAGGTTTGGTTCTAAATTTAGTAAGTCAAAAGTTACACCTCAATTTAGAAGACTCCTCATATCAAATATAAAGCAAAATATGCAGTGATTCCTATACACCGAGCCACTGAGCCAGAACCAACAAAGGAAATGGCAACTGGGAGGTCCACATGGCCAAAGTGTGGCCATTTGGCCTGTTTGCTCTTAAGATAATGCTCCCATTTGTGGGTGAGCAGAGGATGGGTGGCTTATTCCAAAAAGGCTCCTGTTTGCCTGCGAGGGCACCGAATTCTGTAAGGCACAAGGCCTTTTGCTATCATCTGTGACCGCCAAGCTCTCATTCTGTAGTCCACTGGGTTCTGCAGACTCCACTTGTGCTTTGCCAGCTGGTTCTGTGCAAAGCTCTGCCAAAGGAGGTAAGGCAAGGAGACTGCAAGGATGGAGGAGGCAGGACTTGCTTCCTCTCCAGGGCTTCCCGCCCACCCCTCCGCCTGTGGCTTCTGGCTTGAACTCCAGTGCTTTCCTACCACAATTTCTAAATCTACTGTTCCGTTTCCCCAGCACAGGGCAGAATCAGCCTTTAAGAGACCCCATCAGAGACACCAGTTCAGATTCTGACGCTTCCTGAAAAGGTCAGAACCTCTATAGGCTCACACTCTGGAGAGACCTTTCTCCATGTTCTACCTTGCAGTGATTTTGACCTCTTTCCTCTTACAGGAAATCGCTTCTTGCAGTTACTATACTTACGTGATTGAAAGGGGGTTCGCATGCCCTTTCGGGTGCCCCTTCCCAATTAGGCCCCTCACGCACTGAGAGGTCCTGCAGGAGATCTTTATTGTAGGGAGGCGAGCAGGAGGCAGGAAGGCAGAGAGAGAGAGAGGAGAGAGAGAGAGAGAGAGAGAGAGAGAGAGGAGGAAGAAGCAGAAGGAGAGAGAGAACAAAGAAAGGAAGGTCCTTTTATCAGTTTTGGGGTGGGCTATTGCTTATTTATGAGGAGTGAGCTACTTTTAACCTATCACAGGCCAGATTGCTTTTATGGGCCCAGTCCTGCAGACACAGGTTTCAACTTCCTGGACCACTGTGGCCTTGGGGGAGAGGGAAACCAGAGATAAGGGCATGAGGTCATTTTAGGAGCCAAGATGTACCAGGAGAATGCAGCCTGTGAGGCGGCGTCACAGCGTACTTTAACATGATCAATTTCCTAACAATGATACCTCAAATTTCTTCTGATCTGTCAATGACCTGGCTAACAACTTTAAACCTAGTGAACTATTTTTCTGTTGTATTCTGTTAAGTGGTGTGCTTTTTGTCTCCTGCTAAGTCTTTCTAAACTTAGCTCTCTATATCCACAGATTTGTTTATGGCTGGGATTTGTATCTCAGGGAGGGCTAGGTTTTAAGATAAGGGCAGGCATCAGAAAACGAAGCTGCTTGGCCCTCCAATACACCACCTCTTTAGTGTGGAATCTCCCTCTCAGCCAAGACTCTGCTGCACAGCCAGCTGAGAAGCCCCTTCCTCCAACTGGGTCAGTGGCAGCTCTCTGCAGACAGAACAGTGAGTTTATGTTGCCCTATTAGCTCACAAGCCGAAGTTCCCCCAGGGACAGGCACAGCTTCGTTCTGTGCAGAGCTTTCAGCTTAGCTTATTTATTTGCTACATTTGCATTTCCTCCTGCTTCAGGATCATAGGGCTGTCCATCCCTTTTCTCCTTCTTCCTCACAAGGAGACTTTTCACATCTGCTGCTGCTCTTGGAGCCACTGACCACTGCGTCTCTTCAATTCTGTGCTCACCACCTCTCCCCCATCTCCTGGGGGCGTTGCCCACATCCTTCCTGGCATGGTCTTGCATCCACTTTGGATGACAGTGGACTGTTCAGGCGCTCAGGTGTCCAAGGCACCATGGGCAATAGTCAAGTTTGGTATTTCTTGTAGCCCCGAGCTACCTACAAACAAGGAAACAGAAAATCAGTGACTTCCTTGAAGTCAGTAGGCCACTCCTACAATTTAACAACAGCAACAATGAGAGAGAGACAGCGAGAGAGCAAAAAACTCCAACAAAACACTAGAATAACCATTTCTTAAAAGATGTGCAAATGGCCAGGCACATCAAAAAACACTCAACATCAAAAAACAAAACAAGGGGCTGGGGATTTAGTTCAGTAGCACTGCACCTGCCTTGCAAATTTAAAGTCCTGAGTTCAATCCCTGGTACCAAAAACCAAACCAAACCAAATCAAAACTCAACATCATCAGTCATCATTAAATCTATAATGAGATACTGTTATGCACCTAGTCAAATGGCGAAAATCAGGAAAGATTGTTGGCAGGGATATAGAGCAACAGAACTCTCAATGTTACTGGTGGGAATAAAATGTAGTACAATTATTTTGAAAAAAAAAAAGGGTTCTGGCAGTTTCTTATAAGACTAAATATAAAACTTTATCAAAATTTAAAAACAACTTAGGTGCATTAAAGGATACTGTCAACCAGGATAGATAACCTACAATATGGGAGAAAATGTTTTGCAGATCATATCTGATAAGGCAAGGCATTAATATCCAGAATACAAAAATAACTCTTAAAACTTAACAATGAAAAAAAAAAAACAACCTAATATTTAAAATGAGCAAAAGACTTGAGCTCTGTATTTATTTATTTATTTTTTAAAAAAAGGCATGTTGGAAAAGTTGCCAAAATGACTAATCATTAGGGAAATTAAAATCAAAACTGAAAAAAATCAAGATTAAAATCAAAACTACAAACCACATCATGTCCACTGTGGTGGTGTTATTAAAAAGAGCAGTAGCAGGGCCAGGAATTTCACTCAGTGGTTCCACCGCCTGTCTCCCAAGCGCAAAATCCCAAGTTTGAGCCCTGGTACCAGAAACCAAACCAAAACAAAACAAAAAAATAGCAGTAGCAGCAACAACAAAACCAAAGCAGAAAGTGCCAGGTATTGGTGAGGATGTGGGGAAACTGGAATCCTTGTGCATTGTTAGTAAGAATGTTAAACGGTACAGCTGCTGTGGCAAACAGTGTGGAATTCATTAAAAAATTAAACAGAATGAACGCTTTGAGGGAGATACCCAGAGGAATTGAAAGCAGAGACTGAGACAGATGTGTGTACACCAATGTTTACAGAGCATCGTTCACAGAACCAGAAGATGGAAACAACCCAAATGTTCATTGCCAGATGAATATATAATTCAAATGTGGCGGGTACATACAATGGAATATTGTCCAGCCTTTAAAAAATGAAATTTTGATCCCTGCTATAGCATGGACATGCCTTTAAAATACGACATAAGGACAAACACTGTATTATTCCACCTGGAGGAACACCTGAAATAGTCAAATTTGTAGGGAACAGTGGTTACAAGGGCTGGAGGTGGGAGGAATGGGGTGTTACTGTTTAATGGGTACAGAATTTCAGAGAGGGATAATGAAAAAGGGCAGTTCAGACGTAGTGATGACTGTACAACAATGTTAATATACTTAATGCCACTGAAATGTACATTTTAAAATGGTAGATTTCATGTTGTGTACATTTTACCACAATGAAAATAATAGTGGTGAGAGTTACATAACATTGTGAATGTACAAAATGTCACTGAAGCATACATACACTTTAAAGGTGGTTAAGATGGGGCCGGGGATTTAACTCAGCGGTTCTGCCACTTTTCTCACAAGCACAAGAATCCGAATTCAATCCCAGGTACCCCCCTGAAATGGTTAAGATGCTAAATTTTATGTGTAACTTAAAAGATGCTAAATGAGAAGTAACTCTATATAACCCTACTTGTGACCCAACAATTCCATTCCTGAATTTACCTGATAAACAAAAACAAAAAGACTTGTTCAAGAACACCCTAAGCAGTGTTATTTCTAAGAGCCACAAACAGAAAGTGGCCCAAGATGTCCATCCACATGAGAATGGTTAAACCATCTGTGGAAAATGGTTGAACTCATTCAACTAGTTGGTTGAACACAGACATGATTGTAGGTTGCTGGCCTTTTTTTGGACCCACCTGGTGGGCTTTCCTATTCACTCCCCGATTTTGACCACCTGAGGCTACCGAACCTTTAAAGCTCCACAGTTCCTTCTGTTAAGACTATTTCTCCCTGTGCGTAGCCTCTAAGACCTGCCTTCTTGTATCTGGTGCCCTAGGTTTTGGTCCAGTTGTTGCCAGCACTGACGGGTGAAATATCCCTCCCCTCTGCAGGAGGAAATCTAGGGACTGGGGTGCTCCAGTATACCTGGGTCGAAGTTTCCTTGTCTCCAGTGGTCATTGTTCTAGCTGATCTTTCCTATATTTCCAGTAAGGACCCTTTGGTCACCATCACACGGGGCCTCTGCGAGCTCTCTGGTCAGTGCCTCTCTCGAGGGTAACCTCTGAGGAACAGTTCCCAGTGACAGGCCCTCTATAGGAGGCAACATGAGCACTGCATTCTGTGCTGTGATGGCATGGACTCCTGAGCTACCTGGTCTGGTTTGGAATCTGAGCTTTACAGCATACTTGTGAATCATACCAATTTCATCATCTATAGGAGGAACAATCATGCCGCTTCCTTCACAGCTGTGGCAAGGGTTGGTGTGAGGATGGAGTTAATAAGGTATAAAGGTCCTGCAGCAGTGTCGTGATGGCAAGCGCTCTCGAAGTGTGACATTTGTGACGACCTACTACCGTGTTCTCTATATTTTTGGAAGGATTTTGTTCTCAAATAGCAAAGAAAAAGAACAAATGCATGTGTATCGGCCAGGATCCAGTAGGAAACAGGACACCACACCAGCTGTTTGAACAGGGAAATATCTACTCTATAGAACTGTTAACCAGCAAATAGCAATGGAGATTAGAGGAACAAGAGTTAAAAGGAGCAGCCACTACAGCATCTCCAGGATTGAGAGAAGTAACTGTCCCTTCTCCACCTAGGCTGAGATCCAGAACTCCCAGGGGAAGGGCGTGGCAGTGCCGTGTGGGTGGCAGAGGAGTTGGCCGAGGTGCAGCTCTGCAGGCCGGGCTGGCAAACAGGACATTGCCTGCTGGGTGCTGGCAGAATCCCACCGGGAAGACGCCCACTGGCAGCTGTGCTGTAGGAGCCAGAAGAAAAGTACTGGGCTGAGGCAGAGAAGGCCGCTCAGTGAGCCTCTAATACTGCACTGGCGAGGCTGCCGGTGTGACCAGCTGACAGAGGACCCGCGTCTTCAGGGTCCACTTCTAGGACTCCCCAGCTGGGCAACAAAGGTGAAGCACTGAATTGGTGCACACCCCATCCGTGTTCTCATAATTTAAAAAATTTAACAGGGAAATTTTCCCTAATTGTGTATTCATGGTGGTGAAAAGGAAGCTATCTATGGTTAGGGCGTCCATGAGCTCTAGAGTCATAGTTCCTGCTCCTTGGTCCAGTATTATTAACAGCGTCCCTTTCCGAGGACTCACACTAGATAGTCTCACACTAGATAGGGGTGTATCCACTTCTATCAAACCCTCCTACTGGTAGTAGCTGGAAAATTTGTAACTACAGGGCCAGGGATGTAGCTCAGTGGTGCTGTGCCTGCCCAGTAAATGCAAGGTCCTGAGTTTGATTCCCGGTGCTGAAAAGGAAGATTTTTGTAAAGATAAACAAGCAAAATTTAGCAGACATGGTGGGTCACACCTGTAATCCCTAGTCTCGGAAGCTTAGCTATATAGGGAGAACTTTTCTAAAAAAAGAAAAAAAGAAGAAAAGAGTTGGGGATTTAGTTCATTGCAAGGGCCCTGGGTTCAATTCCCCAGTAACCAAAACAAAACAACAACAAAAGAATTCTGCTGGAAGACAACAAAAAACTATCAGGGTAGTCGGGTAGTGAAGGGGCCCGGATGTGAGAAGAGAAAGGCCCCGAGGTAAGCTTAATACTCTGAGCCACTTCCCTCCTAAAAGCGTTAGCTGACTTGTAGGTGGATGTAACTAAGATGGCGAGAAGATGAGCAGAAAGCAGGGGTTGCCAAGAGGAATACATGATAAAAAGAAAGCGCATCTGAGTCTTTCTATAAAAGCTATTTCAATAAATATAAAAATAAAAAGTCAAGGGCCAGGGATGTATCTTAGTAGTAGAGCACTTATCTATCATGTCCAAGGCCCTGTGTTTGATTCCCAGTAACAAACTAAAGAACCCCGAAGCTAACCCCCAAAATTGAGTGATATGAAAACACTACACAGATTATAGTCAAAAGGGTAGCTTTCCTCCACCCAAGCCTGAGTGCTTCTACAGGGGAGAATCCCACCAAATCTGTTGGGTCAAACTCATCCACATATTCTAAACTTGGGCAGATTCCGCTAAACTCTCTTCAGAAACAAAGCAAACCAAACAATGTCCATTTCCCCACACTCTTGCCAACACTGGGAGTCACCAATCTTCTGAGTTTTTTCCCACCTAACTGGCTCTCACCATGTCTTCTTTTTGGCTTCAACCCAGAGTAAAGGGCTCTGTGCTGCCTCAGTTTACCACATGGATCTCAGCAGACTACATCTCTTCCACGTGGCCCTGGTGGACAGAAGGGGATTTGAGGCACTGCTTACCACCAGTCACTCCGAAAGGCATCCACCATGGTCTGCACGTTGAAAGTGGCAGGGGCATCTCCTGCATTTCTAATTAGAAAAGTCATTATTGAAATAATTATTAAGGCGACATCAGCTGAAATGGAGTCACTTGGGAGCCGCTGGATGCAGGATACCCAGTGTACAGGGCAGTCCCCGCCCCCATGTCTCACCGCACAACAGCTGTTTTGCTGGCTCCTCAAGTGAGGTTTGACTTCTCTACAGCCAATCTGTGTAATCAGATACTGCACTGTATACGACCACAACAAAATACTGACCCATATGTATATATACGGTTCTGTAAATCTGAATCAAGATGATCTCCATTCACTAGACCCATAAACTGTTTCCAGCTAATCAAAACGTTTGTATGGCACACCGTGGTGTCTCCTGTGCATCAGGAACCAAAATCATAAAGGGGAAATACAGTGACCATTCTAACCAACTTGGCATCTCATTATGAGGGGTAAAGATGCTCGATACCCACTGTGTGTTATTTGCAGAATGGCTCTTACACACAGCAATCTGAACTCTGCTGCTTTAGCTCATCATCTAGACACAAAATCATGGAAGTAGTATAAATAAGCCAGTTTTTAAAAGCGCAGCAGGCATACATTCCAAAAACTCACTTGGGAAAGCAGTCTTTGTCTATTTCTGATGCTACAATGAGTCATTAAATTTCATACATTTTAATATACATTGCATTTGTCCCAATGCCGAAGGACATGCTATTTTGAAAGTTATGAACAAAGAAAGCATGGTCTCCCCTCACATGGTTAAATTAAACATTTTGAATTATTTGGTAAAAGGGAAAATGTTGAGACTAGTCTTTTTATACTACAGGCATTGCCATTTTAATATTATACGTGGATCTAAAATAAGTTTTATCTTATTTAAAGAATCAATTTTTAGTATGTACAACATTTATTAAATGGTTAAGCGCATTCTGAGGCGTTGGTAAGAGCTGCATGGGGAAAGGGGTTCTCCAGTCAAGGTAGGCAGGAAAGCTCTTATCTGCTCCAGGTTCTTCCATTTAAACCGGAGGCAGCTGAGATGGAGCGGGAGGAAGAGACTTACATAAGTTTTCTTAATACTCAGGAGCAGAGAGCTGCAGAGCTAAGACTCCTAGCTCATTGCTCTGTAAAGTCAGCCTGGGTGTGGGTAAGTGATTTGTGGGTCCTACCAGACTACTCTGTACTGGACAACGTCTCTTGCAGCTGGGATTCTGACCTGCACTCTCTCCAGGTTCAGCATTTCCTGGCCAGCTTCCTCGGTTTCCTTGTGTGCTAAAGCTAATTCGGCTTCTTTTATGAGGAGCTGTCTTCCCCTCGCACGTAGCTGCGACCACTATCTGCTGAGCCGATAGAGGAGCAGACACATGAGTCGGGTGAGAAGAGGGAGAAGAGGGCTGGGCCACCTACAGGTGACTGAGGAAGGAGGACCAGCAGATTCTTCAAATGGTAGTGGATTTGAGAAGACACTGTAAACGGTTCATAACTTATTCTCCTTGTTACCAGGAAAGTAACCCCTTTCTCTTCAGAAGAATAAATTATGCTCATCCTGCAGCAAACCCTGTATTTATCTCTCCAGCCTGTTCCAGCTTTTGGGAGAAATTTTAATTTCAAAGGATCACCACGTCACCAAATTCTCACCCCAAACTGGGTTCTTTATCCCTCTCAGAACTATAGAACCAAGAAGAGCAAGCGCTGATGGGACAGAAAAGAATTTTGTTCTTGGCTAAGGATAGGGGAAGTGGGAGATGAAACTCACCAATCTGTTGGGGGCCTGGGACTATGGATATAAGGTAAAAGAAATGAGGTGTTGAGACAGGCTAGTAAAGGGCAGAATAGTTATATCTTTTCTAAGCATTTGGGCCCTGCTTGTTACTGTTCTTATAGTTCTTTCCAATCACTGTCACAGAAATTGTCAACTGTCCTAGCACTGGAAGTTTGTCACTGGACGTGCAAATGGGACTATAAGGAAGGCAGTTGGGGAGTCACTCTGGCAGCTCCTTTTGGTCCAACCAGTCTCGGCCAGCCCATCTAAGGAGGGACTTTGGCTTACTGGTGTCCTGTCCTTAAAGACACAAGGTTAGGGCCAGGTACAAATGCAACTAGGTCAGCAGGCAGTGCAAGAGTGGGTCAAAGGCTGGAGATTTAGCTCAGTGGTCCCTCTGCCTGCCTTGCAAGCACAGCTCAAGGTTACACACACACACACACACACACACACAAAAGAGTGGGTGAAGGTAACATAGCCCTTGCTTTACCCTGGACTTGTCCCAACATGATCCAAGGAGCCCCAGACCTGCATTCTCCCTCCTGTCTGGTAACTGATGGGACACCATAGGACGCTGCACAGCCCGGTTCTGAGCAGCTCTTACAGTTACAGTTGTGTGTGTCTTACAGTTACAAAACAACCAGACAGTCTTACCTGGCTCCTTTCTCTAGGTGGATCAATCCAGTCTGCACATAGTGCTGAGTTTTCTAAAAACACCACCAGAGCGGGTGCTGTGGCATATGCTTATAATCTCAGTGCTCTGGGAGGCTGAGACAGGAGGATTACAACTTTGAGCCCAGCCTAGACAAGTCAGTGACTTAGTGAGACCCTAACTCAAAATAAAAAGTAAAGATCTGGTATGTAGTTTAGGACAAGGCCCTAGGTTCAGTCCCCAGTACCACAAAACAAACAAAAAACAAAGCAAAACAACAACAGCAAAAAAAGAACACTGTGCAGGAGGCCCATACCTTTCATAGACTCTGTGGCTGTCTCCTCATTGCCATCCTGGGCACTGTCACCTTTCCCGCTTGAATTTAAAGGTCTTCTACAGTCTGGTACTTGACATTTGTCACCCGAACACAACCTCAACCTGTTTCTGTGGCCAAGTCAAAGTGAAGCTGACTATGCCTTACCTCTGCTTCCGGGATGCACGCTGGTCCGCGCTCGGTATGCTGCTGTCTGGTCTCCTGGCCCTCCTAGGTGAGTAGAGGGGTCACGAAACAAGGCGACAGGTGTTCAGGAGTCAAGATGACCCAGACAAGCCAGAGGAAGAGTGGGCTAGGTGGGGGGCGGTCTGTGGAGATGGCAGCTGCTAGGATAGCAGGAGGATGCCCAGGAGTACGCTGTTACGGTTGGAATCGGTCAGGTAAGGTGTGGACAGTCCTGGGCCAACACAAATGTTCACATCTTAATTCCTTTTGAAATGAGAGAGAGAAAAAGACTATATATGCATGTGACTATAAATCCAGCCTGGATTATACTCATTTTTATACCATCGCAGTAGTAAAGTATAATTTTTAAAAAGGTTTTTATTTTTTAAAACTGAGGAAAAGAGACCCAGAATACATACAAAAGTGCTTATGGCCCAGAACAGTCATAATCTGGTCCTGGATACAGTGTTTATATTTTCTGGTTAAAAAGCGGATATTCGGATATTTTATGAGATCATGTGATTTTAAATTTTGAAAGTTTGTTTTCAAATAAAAGAAAACATTTTGATGTTATCTTCGCCTCCGACAGGGGGCGCAGGAGTCGACTCGAGGCGCGCCATCTCCGCCGGGGCGGGATGTCGGTCGCCGCG